CCTGGCTGCTACTTAGCCTCTTCATACCTGTGGAAGCAGTAAGGGTGTACTTAGTTTTTCAAACATGGCTTCTCCATTTTGGCTTTCTTTTTGTAAAATAAATGATGACATGATATAACATGTCATGTGTTGTTCATCTGGTTGTATTTACCTACTTTTGAGAACTGCTAAGGACCAGGTGATTTTTATTAAGTCCTGATACATAAAACCATAGAACTCAGAGAGGGTGTACTTTCTTTTTCACATGACTGTATATATGAAATTTATTTGAGGGATTTATATAAAAAAAGCGGTACCTCTAAATGTTTGTTTTTTCCTGGCAGGGTCACCTGCCACTTGGACAAAGCAGTAGCTGTGGCAGCATACTTCCTCATTGTTCAGGATCTATGACAAAAGAGGTGGAGCCAAGGAGAACTCATAAAGGTAAAGCTATTTAAAATTATTCCATATATTTATGTACAATAATAACCTAATGGAAATCCTATTTCACATTAACATGAGTACATATTTCTTTTAATTGAATAAATGCACAATAAATTAATTCAGCTTAATTCAGCTTTAGCTGTTTTAATGGACTCTTCATGTTCTCAAGACCAACGTTCTTTTTTGCAGAAGGAATTTGGACCATCTAAGAAAATTACATTACTCTATATGTATTATGTATTATTTAAGACTCAAAGTTTACTTATTTTGTATACTTCATTGTTGCAGATGGTGAATTGTCTTAATAGTTTCTTATAGTAAGATTCCACTTCAGACAATTACCATGTTGAATTCTGTGAAAACCTGTCTCAGCTCAGCATGTATTCATTTTCAGATTGATCAGAAGCAGATTGTCATAGTTTTTCTTGAAATTAAGTCTTTCAGCTGTCTCTCACGCTTTGTTATTATTTGAATAGTGCCTGAGCATAACTGCCATGCTGAATCTCATTTTCATTGTAACTTGAATATCAAGGCCACATTCCCACCTCTGCATCTATTATTTATTGCTTTTATATACTCATGTATTCTGTATTCATACAGAGTGATATACACTGGGAATTTTTTTTTATAGATGCCCACGTTCATTCTTCCTGCCCCTGGAACATTTAGATATCAGGTGGAAGGCTAGAAGGTCTCATTCACAAGACATATCTAATTTTATTTGGTCTATCGAGTGGGCATTTTGGTGTCTAGCTAAATCCTGTGGCTACCCTGTTGAACTAGAAACCATATGTAAGAAGGGATGTTGTCAGATCTGCAATGTCTTTCTAAACTATTTCTAATGTTTAAGACAAAGTGGGGAATCTCTAATTAATTGGAAGTATTGCAGTATAACTGTTAAGACTACTGACAGTTACAGCTTTTTTTTTTTTGGTTATCCGTTTCATTTGCTCTTAATTCTGGGGGACGCCGGGGGCGGGTTAGACCCCGGCGGTTTTTTCGGGAGGGTTTTTAG